CTTATCTAACATTAGATGATGTAATATACGCTGGAAAATACGAAGTCTCAATTAAAAATCTATTAAGCAAAGATCGAAGATTCTTTAGCTTAGCTGTGGAAGGTAAATTATTAATTTATATCGTTTGCTTTTGCAAGACACACTCTTATACACAAAAAATTTATGGTATATTTATAATAGCTAATAGACTATATATGATTCGACGTTATACAACTCAATATTAACTTAATTAAATTTAATTAAACTTAATTACACATACGAAGAAAGTGTCGACGCAAATCAACAATACTCAATAGAACGTATTTTTACGATTGGACTGTTTCACATGCTCATAAACGAAACATCATTGTTCTAAGTGCCAAGTGCGTGTTGCATGATCCAGTTTCTTTTCTTGCGTACAAGGCAGACGGCAATCTCACGTGACATATCGCGCAATAATAATTTCTTCTTTCAGCGCTTCCTGCACTGACATCATTCCACCTCTTTTTTCTCTTTTCTTGAACTGTCGTATAACTGCTTAAGCATCAGAAGACGTATGTTCATGAGAAGAAATATACGTGTCGCAGCGTATCTTAATGTAATGATGTGAATTCTTTCAAAACACGCGCGATCACTTTGACTCTGTGTTTAATTATCTGCACTATCACAATCAAATTTAAATTAATCGCACAAATAGCAGATAAGATAGTAGCACATGTCATAAACATTTATTTAAAAGTGACTTTCGGCAATCCACATGAATGGAAATATAGTGTTTAAAAGTCTCATTCTCGTTAAAGGGAGATTTTTATTTCTATATATTCAGGTCCACCTGAACAAATCACGGATAAACCAAGTGTAAACTTCAACGCTGGTGAAATCACGATCGTTTGGCGTTCACCACTGTACAATGGAGGTTGCATCGTGATCGGATATATTGTGGAAGCAAAACGTGCTAGTGAAAACACGTGGACAGTAATCATCGAGTCTAGTCATTCGCTGAATCACACAGTAGCCACAATTGGAAGGAATTCCGTGATACCGGATGAAAATTATTATTTCCGTATCCGAGCTAAAAATATCTACGAACACAGTGATCCTGGCATGAAGTCTGATCTTGTTAGAATTCCAAAACAAGAAGAAGCAATGCTTCAAGAAGAAAAAGGTGAAAATTTACTTTTAAGAGCTCTTGAAATTAATATTTTACTATAACTTCAATATCTGATTTTATCTATCTCTCTCAAGAAAGTATTTAAAATATTATCCTCTTTAAGAAATGTAAATTAAATATTTAATTATAATTATTATAAAATGATCACCTTACTTTTTAAGACGAATTTGAGCCAAGCTTTGAAGCTCGTTTGGTAGTACCGGAAGAGGGCAAACTTTTTGGCGAAAAATACGACGTTCTCGAAGAACTAGGAAAAGGCCGATATGGTGTAGTGAGAAAAGTCATCGAACGACCAACAGGCATGAATTTTGCTGCTAAGTTTATCAAAACGATGAAAGCGAAAGACCGCGAACAAGTCCGCGAAGAAATTAAAATTATGAACGCATTAAGGCATCCTAAGCTTCTGCTACTGACTGCTGCTTACGAAAAACCTCGTGAAACTGTGCTAATCACAGAATAGTAAATACATCTTATAACGTTCTTTAAATTAATTATATATTATATTTTATTACATTTTAATAATACTGTAATATTTAAAATCTTTTTCAGTATTTCAGGTGGAGAATTGTTCGAAAGAGTAGTAGCCGACGACTTTACCCTAACCGAAAGGGATAGCATTCTTTTTATGAGGCAAATTTGTCAGGGAGTGGAATATATGCACCAAAATAAAATCGTACATCTAGATTTGAAAGTATATTTCTTACGATTACAAGGGCGTCGACTTGAGGTTTCACCATGTGTGGAAGTAGAAGTTTGTGTGGGCAAACTGACAACCAAAAAAAAAGGTTCTCGCAAAATGTGTACACAAATATATTTGCAACATACTTCTTCAAAACACATGTATTTATTCATAACACATACATGTAAACTTTTTGTTACATATATATTTATACCTTGACAATTCTGTTATGTTTGTTTTTATTGTACAGTTGCAACACTTTTACTTTTCCTGCTTATAAATTCCATTACAGCTTCTACATCTAGATTTTGTATCATCCGAATGAATATACAGCACAGCCGTACTATTTAACAATAATTTTAAATCTCCTAAGATCTGAAAAAGATCTTTCTGCAGTACAGCATGTTGCACATGATTTGTAAACAGGGGTTTTATCATTTTTGTGTATTCTAACACAATTTCTCTCACAGCTACATTTTCTTTTAAAAAATTTGTGACATTTTTTACATTTTTTGTCTCTATTTTCTAGTAAAATAACGATCAAAGGTCGTGAAAACAGTAACCGTCGATTGATTGTAAACATACAACTTTTCATATTTAGTTTCAATCAACTTTCATTTTTAATAAAATATTAAATAATAAATTATTTTATCAAGAAATAATTTTTGTATTTTTCGGATTTCCAAATGGAATTCCACACAAGGCAAAACTTCAAGTGTGGAGTACTCCACATCAACCACACTATAGTCGACGCCCATACATACGAATAATAATTTATTATTATAATTAAGCGAACTAATAATGTATGTTTTCGTTTCATTTTATACAGCCGGAAAATATAATGTGTCGTACGCGAACTTCTCATCAGATTAAATTAATTGATTTTGGATTGGCACAGACTTTAAAATCTGATACACCGATCAGAGTACTTTTTGGCACACCAGAATTTATTTCACCAGAAATTATAAGTTACGAACCCATCGGTACTGAATCAGATATGTGGAGTGTTGGTGTAATTTGTTACGTTCTGTACGTATATTGTTACAATGTCAAGTTACATTTTTAAATAATTATTTTTATATAGTATATCTAATTTATTGTGAGTGTGATTATGATGCATAGATTGACCGGTTTGTCGCCTTTCATGGGAGACAATGATGCCGAGACTTTTGCTAACATCACACGAGCGGATTATGATTTGGACGACGATGCTTTCGATGCTATTTCAAATGACGCAAAGAACTTTATCAGCGGTTTATTTATTAAACGAAAAGAGTAGGATTTTATATCTTTCTTACTTTAAAATTTAAATGGCTATTTAGTTTAATCACATATAAACTTAAATATTTTATTGTGTATTTTTCTTGGCACAGATTACGAATGTCAGCCACGCAGTGCTTGAAACATCCATGGATGGCACAACATACTACGGCTATGAGCAGAATAGTCTTGCCGACAGAAAAACTAAAGAAATTTATCATACGGAGAAAGTGGCAGGTGTGTATCTCTCTCAATATAGTTTGTTAAAAATCATATTATCTTTTGAAAGAGAGTAAAAAGGAATGCACAACAAAATTTTAGAGTAGATAAGTATGTATTTTGAATTTAAAAAATGCTTGGGACAGCATTTAATATGCATAGATTGACCGGTTTGTCGCCTTTCATGGGAGACAATGATGCCGAGACTTTTGCTAACATCACACGAGCGGATTATGATTTGGACGACGATGCTTTCGATGCTATTTCAAATGACGCAAAGAACTTTATCAGCGGTTTATTTATTAAACGAAAAGAGTAGGATTTTATATCTTTCTTACTTTAAAATTTAAATGGCTATTTAGTTTAATCACATATAAACTTAAATATTTTATTGTGTATTTTTCTTGGCACAGATTACGAATGTCAGCCACGCAGTGCTTGAAACATCCATGGATGGCACAACATACTACGGCTATGAGCAGAATAGTCTTGCCGACAGAAAAACTAAAGAAATTTATCATACGGAGAAAGTGGCAGGTGTGTATCTCTCTCAATATAGTTTGTTAAAAATCATATTATCTTTTGAAAGAGAGTAAAAAGGAATGCACAACAAAATTTTAGAGTAGATAAGTATGTATTTTGAATTTAAAAAATGCTTGGGACAGCATTTAATAGCATGTTTTATGCTATTAAAAATGAACCGCTATTTAATCCTGCATAATATGTTGATTGCTCTTTATTAATCTGATTTATCTTATTTTTTTATAGTTTAGATTTAATGTTTAAAAAATAATGTTAACATGTGTTTAAGTCTTCAGTATGCATGTGTTGTGCCATTTATTTTAACAGAAAACAGGAAATGTCATTCGCGCATTAGGAAGAATGGCAATTCTTTCGGCACAAAATAGACGTAGTCCCACAGCAGAGTCGGCACTTACACTTGAACAACGATTCGATAACATCGAAACACAATACTCTGATGAAATTAAATCAATCCATACTGCTGTTAATAATAAAGGTACGGAACGTATTGAAACAAGCATGAAAGAGAACTCTGCCCAAGCGGAATCACAGACAAAATTGTATTCCACGTGTGTGACGGAAATAAATATGGCAATACAAGAAACATTGCTGGAGGAAGCAAGCAGCTTAAGTAATTTTCCAAAACAGGTTAACACTGAAAAAGACATTCAGAAATTAGATACCAAATTAATAACAAGAGCGGAAGACATTTTACAAAACGTCACGGCGCAACTAAAAATTTTAGTAAAAGAAAATAAGGAAAGCGACAAAGGAGTAACCGATAAACTTTCTGACAATGAGATGGAACAACAAATGACTTTAAAATTGCAGACATTGTGTAAAGTGTTTCAAGGCGATTCGCGCGATTCTGGAATAAGTGATTGCAGTTCAAACCTAAGTTCTTCATTGCAAGTAGATGAACTTGGAATAATGTCAACTATCAAAGAAGAAATAGATTACGAGATTTACAACCGAGAAGGTAAACGAATATTGAAAGAAGAAGAAAATCAACGAAATTCAACGGCCGAAATCTTGGAAAGTTTAGTACAGGGCAACAAAACTCTTCCTTGCGATACGGAAATTACTGCGAACTATGACAAGGTAGCTACAAAGAGTGACATGACTAAAGCTTCGTGTGAAACTAATCCTGTGCAGAAAGGTGTGTGTAAATGTAATTAATTTTAAATTATATAATAATTCTTTGATAACAAAAACTCCCATACAATTAAAAATTAACTTAGAAAGAAAAAGGGCACTAGAAGTGAAGCGCAGATAACTTTACGCAAACACTGATATTTATCAAGCAAAACTTATTTATTATAAAAATTATTCTTACATGTTTCGGCTCATTTTTGAGCCTTCTTCAGAGACAATGAAAAATTAC